AGGGGGGCGTATTTAGGCTCATTTTGTAGGGGACGACGAGATCTACAATTTCTGCAATTTTTCCGTATCTCCAACAGTTTGAGAGTTATTGGCAAAAAACGAAAATTTTGCTAAATCTGAAGGGGTACCCCTTGGAAAAATCTCAGAAAAATCGAAAATTTTATTTTGTCAAAATTTCGAAAAATGCTTCAAATAAAAGATGTAGGTACTGCTATTACCCACAAAAAAGGTCGTATACAATTCTTTTCTCAATCGATTGACATAGCAAATCTGTTGGTCATGAGATGAGATCATAGGGTCCGACACCGTGAGTGAGCCTACTGTTCTTTCTTATACTGTGACTGGGATCTGGTTTTGCATATCAGGCTTCTTGCCGACTGAAATAATGCATTGAAATGCCACGTGGTTCACTGCTGAAATGACATATAGTCTCGTCGCTAAAGCAACCCTGCTTGCCTTTTTTCGTCTACCGATATCCTTTATCCTATAGATTCCCAATTTTTTGTTATAGAGAAAGAGAAGAAAGAAGAAACAATTTCCTCGTTAGAAATGTATCTACAGACTGTCTTAACAATCGTACATAATTTTAGATTATCTTGTTATATATTGATACGAGATACAAAATGCAAGTATAATGAAGATCTCAAACCACATAAAAAGATTTTTATTTTGCGCCGGAAGTCGTAAGGGAGGATTTACGATTTATTTAAGTCAGTATTCTCAGAATTATCTATTAATTAACGCAGATTCGGCCTTGACGGAAGCCAGAACAGTTTAACAAGCCTCTCGTAAAGGGTCTCGCGCATAATCTAAATAAAATAAGAGAGATAGAGAGCACGCACGTGAAGGAGAGAGAGGAGAGGCGGAAGAGAACACGGTTGATCCGTGGCGACGGGTTATGCATATGGAATCTTGTAAGTAACCGGGCACAGTGCATCGTACGAGCGCATTGACTGACTTTATAATTTTACGACGCTCATAGACCCTTCGCCCCCGCCAGCGGCTTGCCCGCGGTTGCTATTTTTATTTCTCTTTCTTCATCCGCTCCTCCCATGCGTCTGGGCCCACGTTTTACGATGCCCCACCGTAATATCCCACCGGCGATCCTAATCGGACGCGCAATAAAGGTCGCGCGGTAATTAACGCCGGAATGAAATTAGTTTGCTCGCGAAAGAAGCGGCGTGCGGCACTGTGGGAGAAGGGTGGCCGGTCGTAAAAGGGCGCGACGACCGGATAAGACTAGTGAGAAAGTTGCGAGGAAAAGGCGGACTGATAGTTGAAAATATGGCACGTTATATGGTAACCGAGTAAACTCTCCCGCAGTCTTTTTTATTTTTTAATAACAAAAAACCTATTGACGTTTACGTACGTATAAGGAACAATAGTGGATGAAGCACTTACCCAGCAGTCGTGATGACTCCAGTTAGATTGTCGACCCTGAACAGCCAGCTCGTCTCCTCGGCGATCGCGTACGTGATTTTCCCGTTCACTCCTTGATCAGGATCCGTCGCCCTGACGGACATCACGCTCGAATCCGGTGCCACGTCCTCAGAAATGGTCGCTACGTATTTGCCGGGATTGCTTGATGGATAATTGGAAGAGACGTATGGATAACCATTGGCCAAACCGAATCCAGGGTATTCGGCGCTGGCCACGGCACGGGGCCTCGGTTCGGTGTATTGATTTTGCCCGAACGAGGGTGCGTTGTCGTTCACGTCCAAGACGATCACGGTCAGGTTGCACCGTGCCTCCAAACTGGGACGGCCTTTGTCCTTGGCAGAAATTGTCAGGATATACTTGGATACCGCTTCCCTATCTAAGTTCGACATTGATAACATCCCAGTCACGGGATCCAGGATAAACTTCGCGCCGATGTTCCCACCTGAAAATAATCAGGGATCTTTCAAGTGTTATCAATCCAATGGAAATGTAATCGTTCATACAGGAACTCATGAAATCATCTGGAACTGTTAATAAAACAAGAGCACTCACCAACGATGCTGTAATAAATCTCGCCGTTCCTTCCCTCGTCGAGATCGGCCGCGGCGATCGTGTGAATCACAGACGTCTCTTGATTCTCCGGCACAGCGAGGGTGTAACAGGATCCCGGCCGGAACTCGGGGCTGTTATCATTTTCATCCATGACTAGAACCTCGAGGGTGCTGATGTCCAAAAGCTTGCTCGACCTGGCTAGGATCGGGACCAAATAGCTGGCCGTCTCCTCCCGGTTCAAAGGTTCTCGCAGGGTCACCAGACCGTTTGGAGTAACGGAGAACTTGTCCGAGGCGATGTTGCTCGGAATGCTGAAGTTGACGTTACCTGCGCAACGGAGTCAAGATGTTCGTCAATGTTCGACTCGGCAGATAAACCGACGTTTCTTTAAAAGTTAGGACCACGCGACCGATTCTTGCAGGACCATTATCCTGTCCTGTCTTACTGAAAATCCGAAATTATCGACCGGTTCGCGAACGGAGAGGCCGTGAACGTCCCTCGGTTAAAGATCGACGCGTTTTTGCGAGCTTCGTAAACTCTGGGAATATATCGACCCGGGATTTGATCTCTGAAATAGCTTCACTCTTTTGATTACGGGATAAAGAAAGAGGTGGGTTGACGCAATTACGCGAAACGGAGGAAGACGTCTTGGGAGATGACCGCCTCGATGGGTGGTTACTGTTTTGTGCTCGTAAAACTACAGAATACGACGGATGTGAAAAAATTGTAACCGGTGCGATTTGGGTGGGCCCGCGAATCGTGCCACCGACAGGAAGAAGCTCGTTCCCGTTTTACGACGAATAAACTATGAGCTCCAATTTCCGGGTTCACCGAAGATAGATGTGACGTGAAAGAAATTATAAATGCCGCGTAAACTGCATTCCAAAAAGATGTATATTTTAATATGCAATTGAAAAAAGGAATGTTTATTTAAGACGCATGGTTAAATGAGTTTACGGTTGTTTTATTTCGAAAGGGTATTAAAAGAAAGCGTCGCGATCAGCTTCCTCGCACTGTCCAGTATTCGGCGGTGAGTCCCACCGGTAGTTATAACGGCGACACGCACACGCTCGTGCCGTTTCGCTACGGTCGGTCGGCTCGGTGTCGGTGCTGGTCGGAACTCGGAACCCGGTGATTTGCCTATGCGTACCGCGGCAGGCTGGCGGCACGATGATATACGCGGCCATTGTTTCGTCCTCTCCTCCTCGTTTCTCTCCCTTTTTCGTCCTCGCCCGCCCCGCGCTAGGCGGCTCGCGGTTCCGGGCCCTGACGCACACCGGCCGCGCGTCCTTCGGGGCACAGAGAGAGACTCTCCTCGCGGAGCCCTTTGCGAACCGCGCTAATGCGCTCGTCTGATACACGGGCGCCGGTCTAGATAAGCGCGAAACGATCGATATACCGTGTCGTCGGCTGCAGAACGCTTTGCTACGCGACCGGGAACAGACTCTCTGCGCGCGCTTTTAGTAATCATCGTGTTCTCGCATCGTACCCTCCGCATGGTTTACGGTCGTACATAGAGAACGTACGACCAATGCCCGGTTGTACCACTGACGGACCTGTGGAGGCTCGCGGTAGATACCGTCGCGTTACATTTCAAATGCGAACGTAACAATGCGGGAATCTTAAACCAATTCCGATCGGATCTTCGGTCGGCAGGGAGCGAACAACAGTTTATCGTTATGAAGCGAGGTTGAGAAACAACCTATCTACGGGGATGGAATTTTCTCGTTGGCGGAATTCCGTGGTCAGCTTTTAGAGCCGACGACCAGAGGCAACGTTCCCGAAGGGGAGGCCGGTATTCCTTAGGCGTTACACGCGGACGGAACGCGGTCTCGACCCGGACCGCGAGTCATTTCGCTGAATTTACTATAATGCCCCGCGCCGCCCGGATCCAAGGCAATTATTCGAGGTATTTTCATAGCAGGGCTTTCCTATTAGCCGCGCCGGGGCATCTGCCGATTACGGCCTCTTCCCGTGACCGCAGCCGGTGTAGGTGGCAAATGTCCACGCAGAAACAGGCCAAGTCGAAAATCCGTGAAGGGGAACGAGCCGCGGAAAGGGGCGGTTCGGTCGGGACGAGATAGGAGAGTGTAATTTCAGCTTCTCGTCGTACAGCGAGCGCTAAATTGACAGCCCCTCCTGTTCCCCGGCACTTTATGCGGCGGACGCACCTCCGAAACAATAAGGACGCGAGCGGAACACCTAAAAGGGTAGCCGCTGGAGCCCCATTTTTGGTCCTCTCCTCCGCGTCCTTCTCGGCGACACACGGGCGACCGAGCGTGTGCGTGCGGGAGAGATCGATAAGTTCCGCGCGAGAGCCGAGTTCGGCTTTGTCCCTTCGCATTATTCTTGCCAGCGTTAACCGAATACATAGCGAATTCTCTATCTGATCATCTTTTACTCTCGCGAGTGATATACGAGCATCGCAGAACATTTATCAATAAACTCGACCGGTTGTAAATCCGAAGGTATGGCGACTCGGCTTCTTACCTTGGTCGGCGATTATCGGCCCCGCGACGTTCAACACCGGTGCTCCTACTTGAAGATCTTCCGAAATCTTGGCTACTGGATTCAGCAGCAGCAGCCTCGGTGGTCCATTGCTCTGACCGGAAGCCAACGTTAAACTCAGTCTGATGGTCGACTTCCTCGGCGGCGTGCCGTGGTCGTTCGCCGTGATCTCCAACTCCATGGACCTGACCATCGGCTTCTCCAAACTCACTATGCCTGATTCATAACCGACCGAGAATCTCGCTTCCTCGTTGGCCGACGTGATCACGTACGACACTCGGCCGTTGTCACCCGCGTCTTTGTCAACAGCAACCACTCTCACTAGCGTCGATCCTGTAAAAGATACAAATTTCTCGTTGCAATATTCTCTGTAATGAACGGAAGAATACATTTAAATAGACAGATGCTCACCGGGCAAGAGATCTGGCATGACCGCGACTTTGGTAGATTCCGGAGCGACGAAAACAGGGTCGTTGTCGTTCTGGTCGAGCACGATGATCCTCGCGGTCACGGTCGAGGCTAATTGCTCGCCGGGTGGAGCCCGGTCGGACGCTTTGAGGATCAGCGTGTACTCCGCCCTCTCCTCTCTGTCGAGCGGCCTGGCCAAGGTCAGCGCACCGGTCAGAGAATCGACCGCGAAGCTGCCTCTGGACGGAAACTCGGCCACGAGGCCGTATCTGAGATCGCCGTTCAGGCCGCTGTCCAAGTCGGTCGCGGTCAAATTGTATATGGTCGAACCGATCACGGCTCTCTCCGAGACTCGAACGGTGATCGGATCCTGCGGCCACCGGGGCGGATTGTCGTTCGCGTCTTCTATCACGATTTTCACCGAGACCGCGATGCTCTGAGGGTTGCCGATGGACGTCGTGTCCAGGGCGCGGATCTCCAAGTGGTACTCGCTGACGTTCTCCCGGTCGAGGGAATGGGCGACCACCAGCTGGCCGGAGCTGCGGTCCACGTCGAAAGCTGGGAACTCGCTGACGGGCGTCAGCGAATCCAGGGTAAAGGCCACGCGACCCGCTGGTCCCGCGCCCGACACCGAACCTACCGCCTGTCCGATGCTCGCGTCCTCGCGTATCTAAACATATCATTGAATCCAAAGATTTGTGAGATCGCAATTTTGGTACACGCGATGTAATTTATGGGCAAAGAAACGGTGAAGAATTCGTGGCAAACAAATATCGAGTTACGTGATTTCCTCCCTAATTAACCGGCTCGTAAATGCAGCAGTTTCGATTCCGATTTAATGCGCATCTATTATATTAAAATTCATTTCGGTCTGCCGTAATTAGTTTTTTGCCACGTAAAAGATGATTCAACGGTTTGAAATGAGCAACGGGGTTGGCAACGATGCTCGTAAATCGGCGCGAAAAATCGGGATGAATCGACGAACGCTACAGAAGACGAGAGAGAGAGAAGACGTGGTCGTGGCGGTGGTGGTCCGAGGTCGATGGTACTCACGTTAAAGGTAAGGCTGCTGCTGGTGAAGGTCGGCCGGTTATCCGCGAGCGCCAGAACCTCCACTCTCAGCGCTCGTATACTGTGCCGCGGTGGCCGACCCGCGTCCGTCGCCTTCACGGACACCCGGTACACGTTCCGTTCCTCGTGATCAAGAACCGCTTTCGTCCTGATCATCCCGGTGATCGGGTCAATCGTGAAAACGTTGTAACCGTCCGAATCTCGGTCTACGGCAGAGATCAAGGCTGCTCGTCAGACAACGCTCGAGGCATTTGCACAAAGTATTTAGAGTTATCACAATTCGTATCTTTAATTTCACCTTTCGATTATTTTAATCGAGCTAAATGCATTATACTACTTCCGACTAGCAATGGTGAAATTCGATACCAGTGGAAATTGAAAATTCGCGTGATCTCGTTGATAGGAGGGAACAACGTTAAGAGCATTATTAAGGAAACAGTAATGTAATGGGTAATCAAAATCGAATCGCGTATCTGAAAAATTCTTACTGCTTAACGAGATCCGTCTTTAAGACCATGCATAATCGAGTAAATAATTTCTTCGGATACGTATTTTTACCTTTTAGAATCGTGTAAGTTACTGATGCGTTCTCTCCCGAGTCGGTGTCTAACGCCCTGACCCTTGCCACTTCCGTTCCCGGGGGTTGTTCCTCCCTGACGCTGACCACGTCGCCTTGCGGGTCCACGATCTCCGGTGAATTGTCGTTAACGTCGAGGACGGTGACCTTTAAAGGTACCCTGGCAGCTCTGGAGGGTGTCCCTTGGTCCCGAGCCTCGAGCACCAGCTCGTGCACACCCTTCATCTCGCGATCCAATGGTTCCCTCGTGGTAATCTCGCCTGTAAGGAACCAGCCGGCACGATTGCAATATAACAGAACTTAATATACGTATATTAATTAAGAACACTCGTTGGCTCGTGTACAGAAAAATCTCTTAACACGTTTGAGAAAAATAAAGGGATCGGTACTGGCTGTAAATTGCCTCGGTGAACGCGCGAGGAAACCGTCCTTATCAATTTCCCAGACGCGAACGAGTTAATTGGATAATCGCGATGTTGGCGAAGAAACGATCGAATTCTTCGGTCGCACCGGCCGCTATCGCCTCCTCTCGCATATTATAATTGTAGAGACCGCGCGCAATAAGTGTTGCCGTAATTACGTAGCTATCTCGGTGAGCAGAAGTCGCCAAGTGACAGACGATAGAAGGTAAAATAAGCGAAATGAGAGAGAGAGCCGTCTTTTCTAGACCGGTCGCCGCGTTAATGGTAATTAAGCGAGCGAACGGGCGGAACTATTCCGAGGTCTGGAAAGGGATCGGGATAATAATTCGTACAGAGGTGCGGGACCGAGCGGCGGCGGTGGCGCGGAGCCGAGCGGTGCGACCTGTTCGGCGTTCGGGGCAGCCGCGTGCCTCCACGAATTCTCGACGTACGTACGGTCGAAGGATCCTCGTCTACCGGGGAGCGGCAGAACGTCGACGACGCCGTGCTCGTCGCCGGAGAAGACAAACGATCGACGAGGAACATGCAAACGCGCCGGCATCGAGGGATACCATCGCGGAACAATAAGAAGTATATCGTAGGACGCGTGCTAATGCGTTTCTCGTGTTAACCGTGGGACCGTGCGACAGCCCGGCTCGGGGTCCCCTCCAGGAACCGGCTCCGTTTTCTGTTCCCGCGTGTCTCTTCCAATATTTGGAAATCCATGCTCGGTCCCGGCCGCGTTAGGAAAGCTCGTACGCGTAGCCGCTACGATCAATAGAACGTTTCTACGAACCGGCGAACCGCAAACATCCGAGGATTCCCGATTATCAATTCGTCGCGGTTCGATTTTCCTTTCGAACTTCGGGGATCATTTTTTTCTCGAGAGATTCACGCGTCCGGGTGAGAAGATCGATACAGAAGTATACAGCGGATACTTCCGGCAAGGAGAGAGGCTTGATTTTTATTCGTCCGCGGCGAAGAGTTCACGCGTGGAGACGGCTGGAGTGGAATCCCAACAGAAACGGCAACCGTTTCTCGCGGTACGAGAGGGACGAGGAAAAAGACTCGGCCCGGTCTCAGAACCAGCGTGTACACAAATACTCTCGTGTCGCATGCCAATCAAACCGCGTGTATGCGCGCGGCATACGAGAAGAGGCAGCGTGCGTGCTCGTTTCGCGCGGTCCAATCTGAACCCGGGCCCTTTCCGGTGATTCGTTACACGCCGGCAAGGTGAAAGCACCACTCTTACGGGATTATACTTTGATATCCACGAAGCCAGCGGGGTGGGATGTTACAAAAACGAAATAATCGCGCCGCCGTGGCTCCCCCACCGATATCGTTCTATGGTTCTCCAATTAAAGGCATTCGTATCAAAAATAAATTTACACGGCTACGTTTCTCTTTTTGTCGGTCGAACGGACCGCTATAAATCTGGAGCGGGCGCGCGCCGAGACGCGCGTCTGCCAGAAAGGAAACGAAACGAAACGAAACGAAACGGAACGGAATGACAGAGAGCCGCGTTGCTGCGGCCCTCGCGTGGAAGTCGATTTCATTAAGCGTTTTCGAAGGCTTACGAAACGGGGGTCTCAACGGGACCGAAGATCTATCGACTATCCTGTGCGCCGCTTGCACAATTGCGCTCGGGACCCGATGTTCGACAATGCCCGCGACCACGTTGACGCAAGAGGAACGCGTAAATTAACGGCGTCCATGTCCGAGGGAACCTATTTAGAGGATTAATCGCTTCTCGGATACGAGTCAGGTTGTATTTCCTCGAGAGAAATTTTGTCTGCGATACCTGAAAAGGTAAACGCTCGCTCAGCGTTCGACGTATAATCTCCGAGAGGATTCGCTAATATTTTTCTGGTCGCGTGGGATCTCCTCGAGCCGGACAGCTTTCGTAAACATTCGACGAGAACACGGTACACACTCTCTCGCGGCAAACGGTAAAAAAAGAAAAAAATGAGCAGAACGAGGGAACTGACTTACCCGTGTCGGAGTCGACGGCGAAACTGCTGTTTGCTTGGACCACCGCGTATCTGAGCAACGCGTTCTTGCCTAGATCGGGGTCGGACGCGCTCACGGAGCCGACCAGCGTGCCCGAGGGCAGGTTCTCCAGCAGCTCGAAACCGTAGAAGTCTTTCTCGAACCGCGGGTCGTTGTCGTTGTCGTCGAGCACCGTGACCAGCACGGACGCGCTCGCGGTCGCCGCCGGTGATCCGTTGTCGGTCGCGAGGACCGTGAGCGCGTGTCGATCCAGAGTCTCGCGATCGAGGCTCTGCGCTAGATAGATCCAGCCGGTGTTCGGGCTGATACGGAAAGCGGCCGATCCTTGGAGTCGGTAACTCAGCCGGGCGTTGTTGCCCGTATCGAGGTCCACCGCGGTCACCTGAAGGATCTGTCGGAAACAGGTTTAAAACGGTCAATGATAACGGATTTTCTCGAACGGAGGAAATCTGAATTTGTTTTCTACGGACCGCAGGAGAGAGAGAGAGAGGGAGAGATGGAAAAAGCGAAATAAAGAGAGAAGGGCGAGACCAGTTGATCCAGTCGTTCCGTATTAATTAAACGCGGCCGAACCCCAAACGCGTTTGAGCTGGTCGCTGTTTTCCAGCGCGGGAGGATAGTGAATTACGGAGGTCGGGGGAGAAGAAGAAGGAGAAGAAGAAGAAGCGTAGAAGGATATAAGTTTGTATCCCGTGCACGAAGCCGGGGCGCAGGGCAATGATGGATGGCGGAGCCGGGGAAGAGAAGGCGACGAAGATAGAAGCGATCGATCCTCGTCTTCGGGAAAGAACGAAACAGTGGCGGCGGCAAGGAGAACAGGGAGAGGAGAGAGATCGGGCACCATTAGAAGCAGAACCTGACGTGGGAGCAGGCAGTAATGTGTCTAACTGTACGTTATTAGTTCGCGGCGGGTGAAGGGTTACGCTCACTGTAGCCGGGTTACTCTCGCCAGAGCTGCTGCGGCTCCCCCCTAATGTACCCCCCACTCCGTTCTCTCTCTCCGCGTCCCGAACCCAGGTTGCGGTTAAAGCTGAGATATTGTCCGGATACCACCGACAGCTCACAGATCTGTTTCGCCGATAGATACCACCGATATATACGTGTACCACGAGAGAGAGAACGAGAGAGCCGAGGGAGCGAGGGAAGAGGGAGACGGTGAACGTGCGCGCGGTTCATCGTTCTCTATCGTAGCCACCGTGTATCCGTTGTATTAAAAATTTGACGTCATTTAACGGGCCTATCTCGCGGCAACGATCTCCCGGCCATTCGTCATCGGTATCCTCGTATTCGGGATTACGTCCACCGGTGGCTACCACCGCGAGGAATCGCTGTTCGTCGCTCGTAACCACGACTAGATATCGCTACCACGCTCCGTCGAGAATGACGAACGTGTTCTCGTGCGCGCAATAGCTAATGACTCTTTCCTCTACGTCCCCGTCGGATCCTCGACCCCTTGGCGCTGACGCGATAATAAAATTCCGTCGGGGCACCGATGAAGTTGTAAATGGACGCGCGGATGTACATCTCATTTCGTAGATAACGCTTTGTTTCCGGCTTTCTATTTCTCAATAATAGATAATTAGTTTGTTCAAGCGGTTAAGCTGATCTCGCCCGATGGGGAATCTATCCGAAATAAATGGCTATGTTTATTATCGTTCGACGCTTTTGAAGAATTTCATTCCAACCTCGCGGGTAATGGTGTTTAACCACGATAAATAGCCCTTTCAGCCAGGATGGCCTGTTCATAAAACGAGCAGCTGCGCGCCGCGCCGCGCCGCGTTTCTGTTAAGCCTATCAACGATTACCTATCAATCCCGCGTATCGTGGCATCGCCGCGATCCACGTATACATATCGCGTAACAGCGTTCCTATATCAAACTATCGGTTATACTCTATCAATCGTTCGACCGAACTGGTCTGTCTGGCAACCAGGCAATCGACCAATCTTTCGCGCGATACACCGTCCGGCTAATTCGTTTCTGTTCTACGCTGACAAGGTGAACCCGATGAGTCAACGTCTTCTTCTTCTCCCACCGCGTCTTCTTCCCGCAATGGAAAATGAAGAAGAGGCGAGAGGATACCGTGACCGCGGAGCAAAGGTTCAAACGCGCGTTTCCTTGTTAGACAGATGAAATTACGCTTTGCTAAATGAATGAAACAACCGGAAATCGAAGAGTTCTGTTGAGGTATATGCGAATGATACGGAGTATTTGAAGAATACAGATTGGGCTTGGAAAAGATCGAAAGATACAGGGAATATTTTTGCGAGGGAATCGGACGCGGTCCCACCGGGTTGGCGCATCCGCGCGGCGAACAAATGCCCGCGTGACGGGCGTGTAATGAAGATTTTTCTCACTTGGGAATCGAGCTTGGCGCCTTCGGGAACCTCCACGCGGTACTCGTTCCTCTCGAACACTGGGGGGTTGTCATTCACGTCTTGCACCTCGACGCTCAGGCTGAGATTCGCGGATAGCCCGGCACCGTCCAACGCCCTTATCAGAAGTCCGTGCCGCTGCTGGGTCTCGTAATCCAATCTCCTTGCTAAATAGAGCTCGCCGGAGCGGGCGTCTATACCGAACAGGTCGTTGCTGTTTTGTCCGAGGACGTAGCGTATTGGATGCGACGGGACCGAGTCCGGATCGGTCGCGTGCGCCACGTACAGCGTCGTGTGAAGAGGATGCGATTCCGGGACGGAAATACGCACGCTCGTCGTTGGGAACGAGGGTGGGTTGTCATTCGTGTCCTCCACGTTGAGTTCCACCTGTGAAATAAAACGATTGGACGCGACCGATAAAAATATTGCTAAGACGTCGACTGGAGGAGTGAGTCTCGTTTCGAAGATTCTTACCTGACAGTAGCCGACGGAAATTCCATTACGCGCCTCGACGCTGAGAACGTACTTGTCCCGAGTCTCCCGATCCAACGGCAGACGCGTCCGAATCATGCCCGTGTTCGGATCCATCGTTAGATCCGGTTCTTCCACTGCCAAATAAAATCTGGTCGGCCGTTCACCTGCGAACACGGTTATTATCGTTATTAAATGGCTACAAAATGGCTTTTTCTCGTGCTTTTCTTTTAAATAATGATCGTTTTAAAGAACGGTCGAGAGGCCGCGGAAGCCTGAATCGTTTGATGGAGGAGAAAGGTCTGCCGCGATGCAAACTTCGTATTAATTCTTCTTTTTGTTCTCACCCCTCGACTCGACCTTACCGAGAGGTTCGTCTTGAGAGCGAACGGGAGGAGAGGAAAAAAAAAAAGGGCGGAAACGAAGAACGGGGGGGAAGCAAGACTGAAAGCGCAAAAATGACGAAAAGGTATTCGGATACAGTGTATAACCGGGCTGGCTCGTTAATTATAACTCAGGCTTGTTCTCACGTGCGCGTTTTGCTCTTTTCCATCGCGCCGGGTGCAAATTGCACGAAAAATCTGCGCGTTCCTCGCGATCCCGTCGCGATCGCCGCCGCCGCCGCCGCCGCCGCCCGTTTCGAGCAGTGTGATCGATCGTTTGAATCGAATTCGCCACGATTTCGCTAAACACCGTTCCAGCGCGCAGCGTTCAACGAGCCGCGCGCATCATCCTTTAATGACTCTAACAATTACCGAGCGCACGCATCCGCGGATGTCGAAAGCCTCGGCCAATTTCTACGGGAGTCGAAGCGGACAAATGGAAGTGCGCGCGCGTAGGAAACGATGAATGATCGATGGCCTCGGCCGGCTCGTACACGGGAGAAACTTTCCGGCTGATATTTTCGAACGGGACGTCGCTCAAACGGCGACGTGGCGCGGCGTGCGTCGACTAGAAATCAATTAATAGGTAAATCGAGCGATCATTACCGCTGGCAGACGGAATTGCATGATGGACGATCGGATGCCGGACGCGGGGCATGTTTCCCCGCATAACGAGTGCCCGTGCCGTGCCTTGTCCGCCCACGTTTATCCGACGCAAGAACCGCGGGGATGTTCCACGCGGAATCCCACGTGGCATTGTCTTCGCTTCTAGATCATACTCGCGTTACAGAACCGTTACGGCTTTTGTCTCGCGCTCGACCCGGCCCGTCGAACGGCTACACCCTCCCGACGTTTCATCGAGTCGATCGCTCCTTTGTCGCGATTTTTGTCTCCGAGCGTTTAAATTAATCCAAATACAAGCTCGATCCATAGTGTAATTTAAGTATCGTTACGGATCGTGCTTCGTTTTTCTTCGGATTTCGCGTATAAATAGCGAGCTTTATATGATTCCGTTCACGTACGCGAGCGAACAGCATCTGCGACCCGTAGGATCGGTGTCGTTCGTCGACTGGTCCCGATGGAAACGCGACAGGGGCCGGCGTTACCGGATATCGTGGAAATGGAAACGCTCTCGGCTATCTTCCAAGTAAACCCACGGAGGCGGTGCCCGTCGCTCCTTGTCCCTGACTCTGCCATGGTAGGTTTTTCCAGCACCGGTCGTCGTGGAAAAACTCGATCGGTTCCACGGGAGACGCGCTCGCGACGCGGTAGATCGCCAGGCGTTTGTCGAAACCGATCTCTACGAGCTGAGCTTCTAAAGTCTACAAGGGACGTGCAAGATCCCGTTTTGGTTCCAAGTGCGATCGATCGATCGATCGATTGGGAGCAATTATCCACTGGCATCTCGTGAAAAAACATGCAATCCACCGAGTAGAACTCGAATGATTTTCTTAAGGCTTTGTAGATTCGACCCTTTTACCGGCGTGAGTCATCGTCGTCGTTTTTTATTCGTTAACAAGCAGCTCAGTTAATAAAGATCGTTATTATTAATTAACTCGGATTTTAACGTTCGACGAGGCGAAATTAATACGAGGAATCTACTCAACGTTTCCTCGATGCTCGGGTTCAGACGTTTAACGCACACGTTGCCCTGGCAAAATCTCGAACCGAAAAGTACTGATATCGATCTGCAGACACAGAGATACGTACGTTACGTTGCATACACGCGCATCGGTACACCCGGCCGAAACTTATGCTTACCGGCAGCGGTTAGCCGTGTTATTAAAATCGTTGGAAACTCGTCCCCGCGCATGTAAATGCGTCCGGAGCCCCGTACGCGCAGAGGGAAAGAGAGGAGTTTCGGAGAATATCGGTTAGCGCGGGTTCCGGGCGCGCAAATGTAAGCAGGTTTGTACGAAATTGTGTATCGTAAAGTGTAATTGTAAAATAGCGTATGGGTGCGCGTGCAAACACACCACCCGATACGTGCACGCACACGAATCGAGGGGTGTACCTACACCCATCGGCATTCGGAACCCGTGTTATTAAACGTCCGCGTGATCTTTTTCCATCCGAGTCCGCCGCGAGAGGAGGATCCGACGTACCCCGCTCTCTCTCCGTATATAATTACGATTTACTTCGGATCCCAATACGGCAAAATCGTCCGCGACGAGATCTTGCAGGCTGCCTTTGCACATTTCAAAAGGCTGTTCGGTAGAAGCCAAATGCGATCGTTTCATTCCTCTGACGATTCCTGCGATCGCAATGTATATAAATTGCGATCAAAAATGAGCCGCGATACGTCTGTACGTCACTTGGTTAAACGGGCTCTTAAAGATTACTGGATTAAACTATAAGAAGTGGAGTTAATCGGCGCGAAAGTACAGCGTCGAAGGGATAAATCGGTGGACGCATTCGGTGAACGGGTTTTTCACCCGCGGTGCCGGCTCGAGGGGGCTTCGTCGCCCCGGTTACACAGGCGTCCCTCCGGGGTGCCCACGTGGGTGTAACGAAGACAAATCGGTCGCGTATTTGATTAATTCGCGGAGATCGGAGACCGGGTCCCTCCGTGGCCCACGTTCCGCGCTCCACCTTCCACTTCCCATCGTTTTCCTTGCCTCGTCTTTCCTTCCTCTTCGTCCCTGCGCTTCGTGGATCGAATCCAGAGCGAGTTTTTGCCCGGTCAGCAGACCCGCAACCTGTTCATTACTGATTCTCGCCCTTTCGCGTCCTCGAGTGCAGTTTCTCGTCCGAGCTCGGCTTCGCTGTTGCAGCTCGTCACATCTGGCCAAAGTTCATCCGTGAAAACCTGTATAGGTACCGGAAGGGCGTTCGCGCATTAGTAGAATCTCTGCGCGAGACATTCCGAGGGAATCCAGGAGACGTATCGTATTTAACGACGCGTATCTGATCGGTTCTCGTAATTTTTAATTGCCAGAAGAACAGAGATCCGACATTAGATTACTCGATATCTCTCAATCCCCGGCGGTCATAATGTCGTCCATTAGCATTGCAAATTTAATCGGCGAGCTGGCCGAATCGTCGCGACCGAACGATATTGAACGTTGTATGCCCATGAAACGATATCTTCTTTAATGGGCGCCGCGTGAAACGCGATGGCTTCTCAACGTGGCAGTCGTGTTACTTAAAATATGTTCCTGTAACACCTCGTACCGCGACTCCAATCGACGATAGAAACCCTCCGGTTTCTCGATCTCAGAATAATCCTGCGCGTTCACCGCAGGATCCTCCGCCTTTTATTTACAATCTATCCTCCTCTCCGGTACGAGTTCCATTTCATCCTCGGCTCTCTACCCTCTCTCCCACCCTTGCCCGTGGCTTCGGTCTACCACGAACCAAGGTAACCCTCTCGACGCCGTGTTCCTCGCGGAGCGACGTCGTGCCAGCCCTTTTTATCCTCGTGCTCCCTCGGTTCCCTGCTCGTCCCCTCTCAATCGCACAAATGGAATTCATTTCTAGTTCCTTGACTCCCGTTCCCGTCCTCCTTTTCTTGTTTCCCTCGCGTTCTCTCTCTTTTCCTCTCTTTCTTCGCGGCTTCGCTCGCTTCCGCTCGTCTCGTTCTCACGTGCAACACGATTCGTCGTCGTCGTCGTCGTCGTCGTCGTCGTCGGCGGCGGCGGTTCCAGGCTCGGCCCGATGAAACTTCGAATGTCGCGCGATCGATCGCGCGATTATTTTATTCCATCGGTCGCAGCGGGTGACGCGAGCCACCCTTGTCCAAACGAGCCGCCCCTCGAGCGGCAAAAACGATCTAATTGATATCGAGCCGAGTTCACGGTGCGCATTCTCGGGCTAGAAGAAAACGGACGCGTCGCGTTAATAAACAGCGACGTTCCGGCATGCGGCCAAGAAACCCGCCATTAGATCAGCTCGCTCTGGCTCGCTCGATCATCGCGTGCACACCGGTAGTACATAGTGGCGAAGTAAGAAACGATTCAGACCTGCTGGCGATTCCTGCGTGGTTTCCACCAGTTATCTCGCAGCGGCCCCCTCGCCCCCCCCCCCACATTCCCCCGTTCACCGGCTAATTTTCCTGCGTCGCCCATCCCGGCCACGAAATATGTATCGCCTGCGTTTTAATTTTATGCCACGGCTCCGATCATACGAATCAATGCCCATTCGGACTGGCAGCGTTTCGTAATCACGGATCCGTCCGGCGATCTTCCGGCGCGTATAAGTATCGTATTTGAGACTCGTACACGCGGAGCGATATTCAGGTCTGTAAATGGCCTTGTCAACTTTCTTGCGGCCGGGCAAAAACGCGCGTGGGCAAAAAGATTTCGTTTAGTTAATTAGCGGCGGTAATAAAAACCGACGAAACGGCGATGCCGGCGTCCGTTTCTAATCGGGCCGCGCAGCAGGTTCTACCATTTTCGATGGGACGTTATTGCGGAACGAGCATAACATAAACGACGCACGGGATAATATTCGTCTCTAAGCGTCTCGCGTTTAATTGCTGGCTACCGATCCGGCGAGAGAAGAAGGAAAAGAAGAAACGGGCGGGGATAAAAAACCGGTGTACCGAGTTTCACAAGGAGAGCATTCCGGGTTAAGAAAACTCGCGATAAATTACAGACTGACGATTCGATCACGCCGTATAAGGAGCCACTGGAGTTGCCTACGTCGCGCCGCGACGACGCGACGACGCTGTATACCTCACAGAGAGTTTCTCTTATTTTGCTAATTAGCTCGTAACGGGTCATCCCACTCGAGGTCGATCGGCCGTGGCCGTGGCTGGGCCGGCTTCGCCGTGCCGTCTCTCG